TGATTGACATGTTTTATTACATGGTTGTTTACATGACTGTCCATAATATCCATCGTAGCATTGGGTACAATTCTTATTGTCATTCTGACTACATATAATACAGTTTTTACTACAATCATTAGTACATGTAGGTCCTGATTTACCAGAAATACAACCAGATATACAACTACCATCATTTCTATTACATGTACCATTATTACAACCTGTACTACATTTACCATCACAATTATTACCATATCTACCATTAATACATCCTACAGTACATCTACCATCTCTATAATAATTCTTACATTCACTACAGTATCCATTGTTCTTATCACATTTAGACAGTCTACAGTTTGTAGGACATTGTTTCTGACATTTTATACCCCAATAACCGTCATTACAAACTTCACAATCACCATTATTCTGGATACAACCACCATTACAATTAGTAGGACATGGTGTATCACATTTATTACCATAATAACCAGAAATACATCCACCATTATTACAATATCCGTTATTCTGTTGACATCCTTGTTTACATTTATTACAGTTGACATTACATTTCATACCCCAGAAACCTTTTTTACAAGCTTTACAATCACCATTATTCTGGATACAACCACTATTACAATTAGTAGGACATGGTGTAGCACATTTATTACCATGGTAACCAAAAATACAATTGTTACAATTACCACTAGAATCACAGCCATCTTTACAATTACTTCCACATTCTAGATATACAATAATAAACACTATGGTAAAAAGAACAATATTACCAAACAATAAGTTGTGATCAATTAGACATTTAAAAAATTTAATTACCGAATACAATGTATCAAGATAATATTTTATAGCTGTTCTCTGTTAGAACTGAAACTTTCGAGAGTATCATACTATAGTTTTGTGTGAAGGAGAAATAACAACTCAGTCTTCTATTAATTTGAGTGGAATAGAACTAATTTGTTTGATTTTAGCCTCAAAATGACCACTAACCGTGTTCGATGAACCTGCCCAATTATGTTTTCTTTTTTAAATCGAATGTGCACACCTATGGCTTTGGTAAAACTAAGTAAACTGGATTATTCATATTATCATTATAGAGATAGTATTGTATAAATATTTCATAAATAGTAAATAATTATTAGAAACCACAAGAAATTTTACCAGTATCTGCAGCATTTTCTACCCTCTGTACCTCCAAATGTAGATAGAATTATAAAGCTACTGCTATTATACAAACAAACTTACTTTCAAATATTTCTACTTCACAGAGTGCGAGGTATTTGTCTCCTGCTTGGTCGGGATTTTCTACACTAATATATACTATACTACCATTAAACTGTATATTTTGTTGTTGATTACAACTGTTTATATTGTAGATATTTTGTGTTGTTGTACTAGTATCTTTATAACAAACTGTAGATTGTTGATATCCATTATAATTACATCTACCATTAGAACTTAATCTTAGCTCAAAACCTTGTAATCTGAATTGATCTGAAATTTTATACAGTGTTCAAAGCTAACTCGAACCAACATCCTTGTACATCACTGATGGTATAGAATCGCCTCTTATTTTACTTCAAACTTAGTGATCAATAGAGGAAGAGGATTACGGTCATCAGCATGATGATACCTCCCCCGNCCCCTCCCCTCCTAAGCCCCCTAAAAATAGAATTAATATAATACAATGCTTAAATAAGCACGAAAAGATATGGATAATTATTACCTCGAAAAGTCGAGAGACGACAAAGGCGAGGAAAAAGGCGAGAAAGCGAGAGTAAAAAAGGCGAGAAGTTCAGAAAGCGAGGAGAAAGGCGAGAAAGAGAGGACAATTTTCCTCTCTTTCTCGCCTTTTTCCTCGCCACTTTCCTCGCTTTCTGGCCTTTTTCCTCGCCTTTTTTACCTTCGCCATTTTCTTCTCTTTCTCGTGGGCGAGAAGTCGAGTTTTCTCGCTTTCCTCGCATCCGGCTTCCATAGATAATGTCGACAAACGTCTTGATCTAAATTGTGATTGAAACTTTGACAGTGAAATGAATTGTCCTGAAAACGAGTTTTCTTTTAGACACCTTGTACCAAATTTATATACTTCAATAAGAGCACTGTTTGTGAACAATTGCATCAACAAAAAGGAGATGATAAAGAATGAAAGTTCACAACAGTTCAACTGCGTCAGTGTTGTGTTTAATTGTAACTTCGTATGAAAGAATTATTAATTGAAATATAGGAATCTTACATGTTTTTCTGTTGTATATTTTGATGTTTTGAAAGTTAACATCTTTCTGTAAATCAACACACCACCAATTGATACCAGGATTGAAGGTATGAGTACAAGATCCCTGTTTAAAATCACTGTTAGTATTACCATCTACAGCTAACGATGAGTAACTAGTAGAATAATTAGAACTCTGGGCGGTGTTTCTTCCCAATGCAACATTTTCTTCACCTTAAATATACATTTATTGTATACAAATTTATCTCAGATCAAAGTAATCATTTGTTTAATGCTATTATTATCCTTCAAGAATACGAGAAATGAAATTGGAAAGATGGATCCTACCACTTCTATTTTCATTTGACCGTGATTTTACGTGCGCTCCCCGGAGCTTCACATTGATAGCACTGTCTTTTAGAAAACACAACCTTTCTTCATAATAATTTAATAATATGAATGAAGGCATGGCCTTGAATGAGAGCGCAGGTTAACGATAGAATAACAATAATTAACAATAATTAAATAAAAGAAATTCAACCTTATCTGTATGTAATGCAAACTATTTTGCCTTCTAATCATATGTGTGAAGGTAATCTTCTATGAATATAAGATCCATAGACATTTCTATAAGGTGTGAAAGTAATCATCTATAACGATGACGTCATTATAACATGACGTATGATGTCAAAAAAGCCGCCAAAGCTGTCATTTTATTCCTTATATGAAGCATAGAGAATATCCAGGAAAAATAAAATAAAACGTAAGGTTTGTTAAGTTGCTACAAAACATCCCTTTCTGTGTTTGAAACAATTGTCGTAATTTATTTAAAGAATTCCAGAATATTCACTCCGAAACTACCCCGATTGACTGCGATCTAGTTGTCAACAAACATGGCGGCCCTCATGATCCGCCATCTTTTTTCTCACTTTTTTTTTGACTACCCGTGGGGCATAAATTTTCTGAAACGAATTGATGTATACGTATGTGTTACCATTATAAAGAGCTGCGCTCTCATAATAATGTGCAACATGTGTAAATAGATTGATAGAACTATAATTTATTAGTTAAAAGTTTAGATTTAGATTAAGTATCGCTGCTAATAAAAACTGTTGTAAAGCTTTTATTTCTCATATCGGTATTAAATCTAGTGGTAACGATTTGTTACCCTTATCGTAGCGGAGCGTTTTGACATTGGGTTTGGCACTATACCACGACAATCTTAAATGACATTTATTATATTATGAAATATAGATTCACACATTGACTACACACATTTAACTTTCAGTGCGCAACGTCCTCGACCTGCCCTATCAATGGATATGCTGATATCGGTTGAAACTTTCTGTTTTATGGTCATCCAAGATTTCACATTTTGTATATTTCGACTTCTGTGCCAAAATGTATTTGTTCCTTCCAAGGCTTTTACATGTGAGAGAATCAATATATAAATCATACGTTATATTTCAAATCATTATTATTTGACTGACAGCCATGTTCCCACTATCAATATGATACATGTACAATTCGCGAATCGCCATCCAGAACCTAAGCCCCGTAATCGTGGTCTAAATCGGGGACTAAACGTGGGGATCCTATCATATCATAAAAGGTCGGGGAAATCGTGTTAATATCTACGATAAGCATGTGGATTGCTAAACGGGATCATAGATTGATCACGATCCTCGCTATTTGTAGCCATTAGATTTGTTAAGACTTCACGATCTGATAAAATTAGTCTTCGATTAAGATAACGTTTTCAATCCTACCGCGGATCCGATACTGAGAACCTAGAAAAAAGTACAAGAAATAATTAACGACGTGGTCAGTGTGAGTCCAGTCATAGCTCAAATCGGATCACCCTCGATTGTGAACATGAAGACATCGCCATCACAATATCATCCTATCGTAATGGAGAGCATCTGTTCTTGGTGAACTTATCTGAACGTCACTGTACGTCACATATACACGTTATTGCAATTCGGTGAACTCGATAGTAATGATGGTGTACGATTGAGACGTAATCTTGGATCCAATCGAAACAATCCTGTCGGCACGTATATGATCGAATCTGGATGGAAGATGAGATCGTATACGAGCGCAACCAATCGTTTCAGAACTACAGACTCTTATCACAAAGTTAGGATTTAAAAGAAATTCCACTATCAGTTACGATTGGTCCTTTTACTTGGAATATCATGTCAAAGACAATAAATATAAATATCTAAAAAGTTCCTAATATTATTAACAGGTTTTTGAGTTGAGTTGTAAATGTAATAAAAGTACAGATGTTTTCATTCGCTGATTACTTTGGTCGAGTGAACTGCTCAAATTGAAAACTGACGAAGAAGATTGAGGTATGTTTGATGTATTAAGATTATTCTGTTAAAAGTAAAATAAAACCATTAAATTGTTTCTTAGTATAACTAACAGTAATAATATTTCATATTTGCACATTTGTGTTAAATAAAAGTATTTTAATTATGTACCTTTACAAGTTTAGCATTTTTGAAAGTTGAGTGTATTTTCATTATTACCTTTGGCTAAAAGTCTTTTTTAACTGATTCATTAAAGTTCAAGATTTGTATAGAAATGAAACCAAAATTCACATCTTTAAAAGCTGATGATGGAACATTGATTTCTAGTTAGCTATAACATATAGGAATAGAATTATACCTTACCTTGAACAAAGATAATAATAATATAGAACAGAGTTAACAATAGAATATTGATGTTATACATTATTCCGTTTACAGTTTGATGTAACATGTATGTAAAATAAATTATATATAATATTCTACTGGTGGACAAGGAAGTAAATAATACGTTTTTAAATTGTATATAGAAAAGCTTTGAAATCCAAAAAAGGTATACCAATTATGTAGGCCTTTGTCGTTACTGTAATATTATAGTTTTACAGTAGATTAAATCTTTTGAATTTGACTATAACTTTATGCATTTTATCTTTATACTCATTGGGGTTTCACATGACAACGAGGCGGCTATAATAATTTGAAAATACCAAACGCGATTATTACTTATTGCGCTCGTTGAGTCTGGCTTAAAGAAGAAGAACTTGTATGTAGTTGATCAATACAGTAAATTGGAATGTGGATAAATGACAATACAAGAAACAGTCTCTATCACTGATGGGTATCAAATCAGATCAGATCGGGACACAAATAAGACATTTTCAAGCAAATCTAACTCGCATCTCATTGAACGGGAGTCAGATTGATGTCAAATTGAAGTCAGATAATGTCTATTCCAACTCAATAGAATAATGGTGGTTGACAGAATCTGTATAGAAAATTCCTGCAACGTACATCATGTGGGATCTTACAAAATATTTTTCAGTGGGAATAAAAGAGATATGTAAACATTAATTTTTAATTTAATCATATTGAATGTAAGCATATAAAATGATAGAAGGTTTAAATGATCTGAACATGATAATATGTTTTATTTTAATCTTTTTAAAGTTCACAACCAATCCATTATTCTGGTCAAATGCTAATAAAATAGTGAAAGAAAGAAGATTATCAACCAAGTATACCAACTTGTTATACCAGATGATGAAGCTGAAAATAGAATACAAATTTTTTTTTTAGAAAACATGATACCCTCCTTTACTTTAGTAAACATTTATATTATTTAATAATGTATTCTAAATTCACCAAACAAATAAACTACTC